TCTAGTCAACATTAAACCCAGCAGGTTATCGTCACTTGGAGGATCGAGAGAGCTGCAGTGTACATGCGAGGAAGATACAACCCGATCATGACAGGATCGCGACTTTCACCTACAAGCCTTGAAAAGCAGAAAGCGGATTATTCACAGCAACTCACATCAAGTTCAACGATACCGCTGTCCGTGGCTCATTGTTCCACTAAGAGGCATCCTGGTAGAAGTGAGATGTCTCAGAGGGGACTAACAACGGAGAACGGTTGCTGGGAGCTGAATGCGAGGTAAGGTTGATATGGCTTTCTCCAGAGCTGATAACACTTAAGGTATCATTCTCAGTAGAAGCCTCTACATGCAACCTTCCCTCGGTGCCGGTGCACGCGCGAAACATGCAGAAGTACGATGGTAAGCCTTCAAATGGCTGCAAGAGTACTTTACATAACGTGATATTAAGAAGCCACTTTGGAAGTCTGGGAAGGGGATCTCAGATGAGGACCTGGGGAAAGTGGATCTAGCTCCGAGGGTCAGACGCAGAAAATCTTACACGCACATATCTGAGCAGCAACACCCGTGGTTTCAAAGCAGGGAGAAGATGGCAAAATGCGCGCGGCATTACAGATGTTCAGGATCGCTAACATAGAAAAATGGCTACGCATTGGAAAAAGGCGTCCGGTAACAGGATTCCAGGAGATTTCAAGGCAACCCACAGATCACGGCTCTAGTGGCAGGAGAGACTCGGCATCGGATATTGGAGAGGACGTGCCTCTGAACAGGCCCTTTCCTGCAAGTACACTCTACAATCTCCCGAGTGCGGCCATTCGTAATGGGTGGGTCTAAATGTTTAGTTTTCCTTGATTGATGTCGGTTGATGACCATAACTGTCCAGGCGTATAGCGCAACTTTGATAACGATACTTATCTCTGCCTAGCATTACGAAGCGTTAGGCGCCTCTTTGTGTGGCGTCCGTCCGTCCAATTCCTGGTTCATCTTGAACCCGATTGGCGCTTGTATATATTTGACTCCTGGTTCATACCCGCGCGAAGGCCAGAAGGACCCACAAACGAGTCATTTCTAGACATTGTCAAGAAAGTTGGTACGTATAAAAGGCCTCGGCAAATGTGGAGACAAGTGTGGCAAGCTGAAGCGGTAAGCTAGGAGCTTTTGTGTTAGCAACAGTTGCGTGCATGCTAGCTTATTACCGCATCGACCTTTGGGGATGATTTTGCCCCACATGTCCTGTCATCACGTCCCTCTTCCCGCCCTGTCGCCATGACAGCGTGACATGCAAAAATCACTCTCGGTTAAGTGCCACTACTGTAGGGTCGTGGCAACCTGAAACGACTGAACGCCTACAGTCTTGGAGGATAAGTATCCAATGCGCAGCTGTGACAGGGGTGTCAGCCACTCTAAGGGGCTGATTTGAGACGCCAACCACGCCAACAGGATCTGCTTGGTTTAGCTCTTAATAAGCAGTTCTGCTGCTCTTAATCTGTTCAACGCAGCCTAAGCTGGGTAAGAATGAGCTAGCTTTGGTAAGGCTTGAAACCTCAATCCGGCCCGACCTCAGCTCCACCTTGACTGCTTCTTCCAAGACTGTATCTGTTCAAGCATGGCGAAAGTTGCCCATTTTCGATATCACAAGCATGAACCTGACCTGATTACAACCATGGCAAGATGGGTTATCCAGTACATGAGCAGTCACATTCCAAACAACTTTGTGTAGTCCTTAAGATTGTCATGGAAGAGGGAGAACGATATGGGCGCCCTGCACAGACTCCGCACGTGGAAGCGGGCACTAAGATGACGCCAGTGGCCGAACGTTGGCCCGAGCCAAACTTTGTTCATTGCCGCGTGAGCAGTCCCTGGTTGCTGGTTCCACTTGGGCCTTTTCGTGATTGCGCGTTCAAATCGCCCAACGAATCACAAAGGATGCGTGTGGTATGGAGGCACGCCGGTCAGGAACATAGTACTCGGACTCCTATGAGAAAATGGTAAAAACACCGTGACTGGCAATCATGGCATGCCTATGTCGGATTGGTATGCACCTTGTTGTCGATTCATGCGCACGTTCCGTGCATGCTATCCGCTGTATTGAACCATGATCGACGAGTTTGCCCCTCCTCTCTCATTAACGTTCGTGAACACGAGATGAGGGAAGGAACGACCAAGGCTGCTGTAAACGTACTGGCGTCGGCCAAGTGCGAGCCGTTGGAAGTATGCTTGCATGCATCCGCGTAACGACTGTCTCCAGTGGCGGCCTTGCAAATCCCATCACATGCTAATCTCCGCTGATAATAACGAATATAAGCACCTGAAACCATGGAACGACTATACACAATAACTCGGTGCTCCATCACAAAGTCTAAATGTTGGTTACGCTCCCAATTTATTTACTTAGTTGACATTCATCGATATGCCCGGTGGCCCGCACCCCCCAATGAGCGTTGTCGCTTCGTGGCCGCCTCCCAACCATGTTAACCCAGAAGGAAGAGGAAGAGTGACGTCCAATATCGCATTCGTCCTAACGCCAATTACCTTTTTTGTTGTATTCTCAAGGCTGTGGGTACGATTCCGTATGCAACGCAATGCTGGTTTGGATGACTGGCTCATGGTAGTTGCTCTTGTAACTTACCTAGTGTCACACGACATGGTTCATTCACTTACTGTCTGGCAGCCACTCGTCATGGCCATGGCTATCCTTATCCCATGGAGTAAGTCTTTGCGCTATTCCATCTCCCGTTCACAGCTGATTCCTCATAGCTGCCGACAAATATCACAGCGGAGTGCATATATGGGATGTCGATCTTACCTTATTTGAGGTCCAAAGAAAGCTCATCTTGACGATAGAGGTCTTGTTTGTCGTCGGCACAGGGCTTGTCAAAGTTTCCATCCTTCTCTTCTTCCGTCGCCTGGGATCGCGCGGCACGTCCAAAGCCTTCAGAATCACCACCTGGGTTGCAATTGGGTTCCAAGTCGCGTCCACAATCACTTTCTTCATAAGTCCGCTTGTTGGATGCCGACCCATCTCCGCTTACTGGGAGCAGTCAAATGTCATCAACATAGCGCTAGGAAAAAAATTCAACTGCAATCAGGAGGGCGCTGCCATGGCAGCCGCTGGCGTCATTTCCACGGTGCAAGACGTAATCTGTGCTCTACTACCCAACTTTATCTACTGGAAAGCTAAAATCCCATTTCGACAAAAAGCAGCGCTAATGGCAATATTTGCCACAGCTTATGGAGCTGCTGCGTTTGGGGCTTTACGAACCTATTCCACTTACGTTCTTTTCTATGAAACGTACGATGTTTCTTGGCAGCTCTGGGAGATTTGGAATTGGACCCTTCTGGAGCTTCATATTGGTGTAATCTGCGCAAATGCGCCCGCTTTCAAGGTCTTCGCGAAGAAGTACCTTAACGTCAAGTCTTTAGTATCCAAGGACCAAAGTTCTTCGCAAGCGAAATCGTCGCAAGCAAAGTCATCGCAAGCACAGTCATCGCAGACGGCGAGCCAAGCGAAGAGCACTCCCTCAGGAAAATCCAGAGCAAAGTTGGCCCTGTGGAAAAATTCCTTTGCAAATCACGGATATTATTCACAACCAACACAGCTATCTGTTGATGAGCTAGGTGGTGTGCAAATTTGCAGAGAATCGGATAAAAATACGTGTGGTAATCTCAAGACCACCGAGGATTCAGATTGGGATCACGCACGCATTACGAATGATGATGTTGAGTTGGGAATACTTAACGATGCCGAATCCTACCCCACCCAGCCTCCCAAGTCACATAGAGGCAGTCACGGCTTGGTATCTTTATATATGTACGATAGTGAGTTAGAGGACGACAGTATGAATCAAGGATTTCGACACTTGCGAATCGAGGTATAAACTCCTTCGCTAAGACTGAAATGGATAATGAAGTCATATCGCCTTTTGTACTCCGGAATGGCCCTTTGTGGAGTGGTTTTCACGACGTTTTGAATGCTGCCTAGTCAGGCCGGTTATCGCTTCTTGTCCAACTAGCTTTGATGTACGGAAATATACAGGTACACAGCAGTATGTCATACTAGACGATGGCCACTAGGTAAGAAATAGTGGCCATCGCCGCCTACCTAGATATGCGTACTTTGCAGGATCTAATCGATCCATGTCTCACGAAGCTCACAAATACTGAGCCTTTTTACCAAAATACAATCACTCCTTGATACAAAAGGTAACACTGATCAGTGGATTAAGCACCGTACTGGGTTATAAAACAGTATTGCATTAGATTTGTCTTGACAATACATCATACACAGTGGTCTTAGCAAAGGCAATTAGGACTATTTGAGCCATCGCTATCAGAAAAAGGAAAAAAGAACCTCCAACATTATGGGTTCGCTGAGAAGGATTCACACGTATGTTTTCCCTAATATGTAGCCCTGAAAGACTTTTATGAGGCGGTTTTAGAGACAGGACCCTGTGAGCCAGCGAATACATCACGATACCTTCTTACACTGATTAACCATACGCAGGTTGCTGAGTTACACGACGTTTGCTAGAGCCCTAGCCTCAAACAACTATATTTTGAAACGAACATATGGTAACTACATATGGAGGCGCATCACGTAGTCCGCAAAGTGGGCTTTGGATATTCAAACCTGTATTTCTGCTGGACACGGTAGTGAACCAGACCCCGCTACAGCTTCTGAATTTATTGTCCTAGAATTTGCCACCCACAAGTCTGCTCCCAATTTGAACACTACACTATGTCTTCAAGAAACTGATTTCAAGCTGATGTTCATCAATATTCTAGTTCTTTCAAATAGATCTCCTCGGTGACGTAGTGAGTAGTAGCAACAACCTGTTCTAAACATGAAAAGTCAACAGCCACTTGAACTCCAAGCTGATATACCTCCTAATTGATGTTGCCAAACGTATTAGAGATATGAAATTCCAAAATGGTGGAGGGCAGAAACGACACAAGCTGTCTAGCCGTATCCTCGTCGATAGGGCGATAGATAGAGCGACAATCAAAAGGGAGGTCAGCTAGAAGAAAGGGGTTACTTTCTAGTTTTTCGCGAAGGACAAGGGCTATTACTTCTAAATTTCAATTAATAAACTGAGATACGTTTCTGTCACTTACTATTTTCTCTTATAAATAGCCAAAGAGCAAGGGTACTATTTCTAATAAAGATTGATAAATCTAAACAGGGTCTTATTACTTACTAAGTATATAAAAAGTAAAATCAATCATTTTGTAGTGAATCGCGAAAGAGAAAGGGTATTACTTCTAATAGAGATTAATAAACTTAAATACGTCTTTCTTCTTCTATTGTCAGACTGTGAGGTGTTTTCTAATCAAGGATAGACTTAAGTCACTGTGATAAATAGCTGCGATAATTGATGGGAGAAATTGATTGTATTGATTGTTCTGTCCTCGCCAGCGGCGCGCAGGAGCGCCGCCTTATGAGCGCTGTCGCT